AGTGCGTTTCATTGGTATACGTCCACCCCTGATTTTACCAAAAACGTTTCTTGAAGACTTTGCCCAATTTAGCAGCATACATTATCGGATTCACTGTGTTAGAAAACTACGAAAAGCACGTTCTCAAAGAAGTAAGATTACGGGGAAATTTTTTAGAAGTACTTCTTCGATTTTCGACCGTTTCATAATATACGTCCACTCTTAGTATACTTCTCGAAATAAATTTTCCTGATCCAACCGAAGTGCGTGTTTGTACCAGATGTAGAACCGACTAGTCTTCTCGCGATGCCCGTGGTCTCCGTCTTTCTGTAGAGGAAAAGACTCGATTTCGGGCTCTCCATGATGGCGGACTCAGGCATCGGCAAACCACCAGACAAATCGACAGGATTCACTGCTTGCTTTGCTTTCATCTCAGAGATTCTGAAGGCTACCTCGACGGCGAAACTCCTAGACGCCAACGCAAGCTATCCGTCAGAGATTAACGAGAAATTTGGAGGAAAGTTTCCAGCAACACATGCAGCATCAACCAAATCCGTGCAGATTTGTAGGTGTTTGTCTCGAAATCCACCGTAGTGAGGGCTATCAAATGGAGCGGTGACATTGTGAGAGAATTTATGAGCAAGACCCACATCTAACCGGAGCACTCGAGTTGGCTCGTCTTGGTTTTACTCGAAAGGACGCGGCAACGGATTGGAACCAGGTGCAGCTGTAAAACTGGGCGCAGTTTCTGCACTGTAGAGTCTTTCAAATTCTTTGAATAGTCTTCTCAGACGAAAAGAATCATAACCGGGCGCACACGGTAATGTCAGACGTAACTGGGGTGATCTGAAGAAAGACCCAGTGCAGATCAGCAAGCGCAGGTTTGGTATCGGTTCGCTGATAGTTTGAGGGGTCTCCTGTGGGACAGGAAGCTGGAGCACGCATTTGTTTTTTACCGAATGGACTGACAAGAGCTTTGGGATCAAACTTATCGCTGTTCCTGAACTGCAGGCGGCGATAAAAGCTAGTTTTCTAGCAGGACAGTGCAAGTGTCCATGCTTACAGGTCAACGTCTGCGTGGTTCTAACGACAGAAAGTGGTCGTTATGGAGCGGCCTGCACGCAGTCCTGATCTGAACTCCATAGAAAACTTTGGGGTGTAATTGTGCAACAGGTTCACGACAACAAAAGGCGGTTTTCCAACTTCTACACAATGAAAAGGCGATCATGGATGGGTGCTGCAGCATCGGCCCTTCAATCCTCGGCAGTTCAACAGTGAGTATGTCACATTGACTCATAGAGCTGCCATTCGAACAGAGAGCACCAATTGACAACTTATTTTCATTGAGCACTTTCTGACTTTGCATAAATAAACAGAAATTCAAAGTGGACGTATACTATGAAACGGTCAAAAAACGAAAAAATGCTTCTAAAAAATTTCGCCATAGACTTGCCTGTCTGAAATCATGTGTTCCGTAGTTTTACTGGACAACGAATCCGATAATGTATGCTGCTAAATTGGGCCAGTCCTTCAAGAAACGTTTTCGGTAAAATCAGGGGTGGACGTATATACCAATGAAAATTTGGGGGGGGGGAAAGCACGTTAGTGATTAGCCCCCGTTCGCGGAATGCTCTAATGAGAGAGGCTGGAGATAGCTGGTGTGGCGTGCAGCGTTAGAACGCGACTTTTTTCACTTATCGCAGCCATTTTTATTTGCAGGAATCTCGGGTCCATTTAATTATCGGAGTGGACCTGGGGTTCCGCAGTGGAAAAAGTTTCGCTCTGCGAAAAGCGAAAAGAAGTCGCGTTCTGTCCTGGTAAGCTAACCCTAGGTGATGTACTGTGAAATGGTGGGAGGAGCCCTCTTATACGTAGAGGATTATTCGAGATTTTTTGTGAAGATTTTCTTCACATTTAGGAACTTCAAATTTGATATCTGGCGAAGAAATCAATTTTTTACAATTGAGCGTTCGGCCCTGCCCATGAGACCAATCACTTACCATTTTGGAGACCAATCACTATTACTAGTTGATGGACCTTGAAGCTTGAATTTACTTCATTGTCTTTAAGTCCTATTTCTTTTGTTATTCAGTCATGAATCTCACCTCTGTAAAGTTCTGAAGGCATCTTTTGCATCCACAGGTTTTACCAATAATCTCTCCTTCGAAGTAGATTACTGTATCTGAGGCTATGACAACGTCGAAGAGCTCCTGCCGATAAATAGTTGCATTGTGGACTTATTGAGACAATAAATCCCACAAACTCACATTGTTTGTCTTCATCTCCTTCATAACCGCATCTAACTTACCCGCTGCGGTCTGCTTCAACCATTATTCTTCGGCTGCGGTAAAGCTGTTTTCGGTAGGTTTCTTTTCGAATTTTTGATACTCGAACCATTAGCTTTTTAAAATACCCTGATAATGTAGTGTGCTCTTTCGATACAATCGACTATTCCATGTCCGAACATATTCCATGTATGAACTTTTTTCTGCGCCTTCTCATTTCTTTTCCTAGGAATATTTCGCTAGAACTCTCTCTTCAATCACAATCGTGCTTATTATTCATCAAGGCCACAGAAATACATATTCAAGACAGCTGGTCGAAAGTGGTCTTAAGTTGCGATAGAAAACGCAGTGATGTCAAGCGCACTGTCGCAGAGGTATAGTAGTCTAGCTTCTAACAAAGTCATGAGAGTGTGTAATCGCTAAAACGACTGTATCTCTGATGTACTAGGGGGCATCGCGGCGCCAAGGACTTTAAGGTCTAAGAACCACGTCGAATATTTCCTCTTAATACATGCTTGTCTTTCTTACACAGGCAAATAGTTCACACACCCTGGAATCCCTCGCTAACTGGATTACTGAGATGAAGTACCGCCCTTTCTTCTCCAGCTCTTCCCCCCTATTACATCAGTACCGACTTTTTCGCTGCTCAACTAGTGATTCTCAACTAGAATGATTGTGATTGAGAACGCTTGAGGAAGCAATTTCTTTCGCGATTGCACGCCCAACGCTGCGATTTTGCAGTTCTGCCATGCGAGGTAGTCGCAAAGTATGGCGGCGACGTAAGGTCTACGAATTCCGTTATCCTTGATCAATGTGTGCAACTGAATTAATAATTTGAGCATAAGCCAAATACGTGTACGCAGCTATGTTGTAACATGACGAACGGTGTCTACTTGACACTACATATCTTATCTTTTTCAGTTCTTACTCCTGATGTGGCCGTGAGTGACCCACTCCTCAAAAGCTCAACTTTTATTTCTTATTTCTTCGAAAGGTGAGTGAGTGACCTTCCATCAACAGGGGAACTTTCAATGAATTTCCATCCACACAAGGTTAGATGTTTATTTTGAAGGTGCAACCTACAATTTGCTCCATGAGTTTGAGCCGATTGGGAGACTGGCTGGCCAGCACCACAATAGGTGCTGGCGTGTCCGGCCATCCACTTGCTTTCGATGTCGACATGCTTGTACGTAGAGCTCTGATATTGAGCAGGCTATTCACGAAAAGTTGGGGCAATCCTGAAACATTCCCGAGAGTAAGTTTTTCTTATGTTGTATTTGTTTCTGTATATCCGAAGAACTAGTAAATCTTCAAAGTGAAATGTTCATCAACGATTAGAACATAGTGAGAAAACGAACTGACATTATAAAATCAGGGTCTCATCCACTAAGGGATGGGGGCATATGCTGCGACATTCATATTGCATGACTTTTTCAGGGGAGGGAAGCTCCGGGGTGGGTGTAAAAGTTCAAGCGAAATGGTTCACGCACCCCGGGGATTCCCTCCCTTGCAAAAATTGGAATTTCTGTAGCCGGCAAGAACTGTCGCAGCACATGCCCCCCCCCTTACTGGATGAGACCCTAAAATCTAGCATTAGTGGGAGAAGTTGTCATGCAGAAGCTAAGCTGTAGGCGCGTAAGAACCATGGCATGACATCGCTGTAGGTTTCTTTTATCGGACTTCACATGAGGTTATCAAATGGGAGGGTGTGAGAAAAAAATTGTAGGAGCTGAGCGGCACATTTTTATAGCAAGGTCCGCGTATTTATGGTTCTTCATGAAAATCTTAAGTTTTTGGTTGAGGCCTTCAAGTTCAACTCAGTTCACATCAAATGACAAAGGGAGTAGCCTTTATTGGTGGTCAGTGCACACAAATGGTGCAGCGTGTTTAATCCGGTTTTTCCTTAAGGTTTGCAAGCTTTCTTTCAGGAGAATACCGCATCAATAATTGGTCCCATCTCGCAAGTTACTGCAACTTCGCAAAATATGGTGGAAAATCAAAAATGAATTGAGAGAAATATTAGGTGATTCTCAGTGGCAGTTCTTCCAAGAGTGATCTGAATAACTGAGCATTTTCAAAAAAAAATCTACACGAGGAAATTTTGGCTTGAGACATATCCGATGGATAGGTTATCGTGCAGAAAGGAAATCAGAGCATGAGTAGAACGATTTTTTGGGAACAGTATGACAAAAGTATACGGGAAAACCACGTCATTGAACGCGGTCTCAAAATGTGTGCGCATACTATAAATTATGCGTACAAGTTATGTTTACCTGGCTAACCGGTTTGCTGGAGGCGACCTATGATCCCTTATGGTTAGTCCTTTTTTCATTACTCACATCGCTTACAACGCACTTTGAGCGTAACAAATAACAAAATAATTGATTAACAAGTTCGCAAAATTCACAGCAGGAGCACAAATCAAGAGAAGAACTTTCGTAGTTTTTGATTGAAATTTTGCTGGCCTTCAAAACAAAGTATTTCATGTAAATATTTACTGTGCTCCATTGTCCTGTGTTTCGGCTGCGTGATTCAATTTTGCGCCGGAAGAAGGAAAGGGATTCTGAAGGACTAGTTATATTGATTCCAATCTTGATATTGTAGATGAATTCGAGTAAGGACGAATTTAAAATATCGAATAATATGACTATGTACATGGTAGTGAAGATTATAATCCATGGCTCTACGTTTCCTACTTTTGGGCTATATCACCCCCAAAGAACTTATTTCAGATTGATGAAGCATAAAATAGAAGTGATGTCGAAGCGACTAGCCGAACAATGTGTAAAATCGTTGAACACGGAGATGATTATTGACATGGTTTGTCTGCAGTTATAATTGTTTGTTATGGGAGTGTGTCCCTTTGATACAGTCGTAAAAGGTCGACGTCTGCTTGGGGCATATCCAATAGCATGGGCCGGTAATAAGTGTACCCAACCGGTAATGCTAGCTTTATTTCGCTTGCATTTTTACCAGAACCAAAGTGATTACTCTATACCAATATGTTCTTGGCAAAAAAGCAGTCTTGTATTTTTTTTTGCAAATTATTCAATAAGCTCGAATATTGGAAAACTGATTTGATTAAATATCCTGAATTCAAATGAAATGCTTGTATTCAGGAAGAAGTTACGCATGGAGTACGAAAACTGGAAGGTCGCTTTCGCAGCCCGCATGCGGTGCTATTCCCAAATCAATTGCCTGGATGTCTTCAGTGGGCGATTTGGAGAGCTTATCTGCCAGCCGTACGGCGGAAAGGAGTCTGCATCCACTTAGCGGGGACAGGAGATCATTCCTATGTTAGGTAAGATTGACGCACTCACCTCTTTGACGCAGTCACAAGTTCAGCAATCGTTAATTTAGGCCTTACTAATGAATGCAATGAACTAATAACTCTTTTCTCTTTTTATTCTTTTCTTGGCTTTCTATCATTTTTCTTCGGATGAGGACTCTTACTCTCTCTCTCTCTCTCTTGACCCTTAGCTTGTTTCACCGTAAATGGTTACTGGCTGATGCCTCTTGTTGGCTGTCGACATGTGCATCCAAAATGATTTCCTTCTGGTCATCAATCACTGTTTACAGGAGTCATTATCTCAAGAAATCATTGCAGGCGTGAATTGGGATTCGTGAAAGGCCTTCTAGATGAAGGCATAGGATCAATTCTTCTTCAAAATCCATTCTATGCTGACCGGAAACCGCCATCACAATTTCGGTCTTCTCTCGAGAGCGTTTCTGATCTGTTTGTGATGGGAGCTGCTCTGATTTCCGAGTGCGCTTTTTTGAAATCATGGGCACACTCCGAGGGCTATGGACCGATGGGACTGTCTGGAGTAAGTTTCTGATATTTATGCGAATGAAGAGAAGCTCAGTAAGATCTAATTCTAAACCATTAAGGTCTCTATGGGTGGGTTTATGGCATCATTAGCTGCCACAAACATGCGGACCCCAGTTGCAGTTATTCCATGTTTATCGTGGACGACGGCTAGACCGGCTTTCACGCAAGGTAAGAACCTAATGACTTTCCGTTTTTGTTTTCCTCCTTATGTCTAGAGATGCGAAATACTTGTTTGTCACATAGGAGCCTTACGACAAGCTATAAAGTTCGAGCATCTTCAACAACAACTCGAAGATCGGAATTATCTCGAAAAATTGCAAAGCATTCCGGGAGTGAATTGGGTGGACGAAATGGTGAGATTTGGCCTTTTTCAATATATTAATTCAATACCGTATCGAAAATAGGGTGGCCATATTGTCGTTCGGCTAGATTTCAATTCTGGTGTTAGAGATTCTTGGATAGATTCACTTCAGAAGAATTAGTTCTCGGTAGACCTGCCCTACTCTGCAATCATTTCTGAGGTATTTCTGTTAGAGTACTCTCACCCAAACAACTACATTTAAGCCGTAAACCCACCCAAGATCGAAAAACCGAATGAGAGTCTCGTTTCGGCGAGTTTTTGACTGTCCTTTTCTTCCTCACTGACGCATTATTTCGAACCACTTCTTTCGTGATTTGACCCACATCAAATAAACGCCCTAATTGCTTTGATTCAACCATCTCATTACATGTGGTGAAATTTTGTGTATTATGGATATTTCCAGTATAAACGGAATGCTTCTAATCGTCAAGGGCTAGCGTATAATATGATGTGCATACTAATGGACGAGTTTCACATTGTTATCCAACTATCCAATACCGATCGACACTTCGCTGTGCACAGCGGTTGTTGCAGAGAATGATGCATATGTTCTTCGTG